GGGTAACATGTGATTAAATAGTTGAAAAGTAACTATTCACTAATCTCCCCCATAATTCATGTTCAAGCACACTTAATCCAAGTTTGAAATTTCAAAGGATTTCTCAATTGCTCTCAAAATTTAACATATATAATTTTAAAATTAATTTTAATATTTAGAAAATAGATCAATTTTGAGGATTTCTAGAAAATTTAAGTAATTCAAAATTATTTTTCAATAAGCCTCAAAAATAGTTTTAAAACAAATTTTCTAATATTTTAATGATTTAAAATAGATATTCTTTGAGTTTTTGAAAATTACTTATGTTAAATATTAATTACTTATTTAAATTAAGTAAGTAATTTAGATTATTTAAAATACTTAATATAAATATATATATATATATATATAGTCAAATCATAGAAGTAACATTTATATGATCATGAATCTATACAAAAATAATAAAATTCGCATGCAGTAGGCAATAATAATATAGTCTATAAATCGTAAAATACTATAGTGGAGAAAGTACTAAACCAATATGGGTGTTAGATTTATAAAACCTCCCTGTTCCAACTTGGTAAATGCTTTCTGCATCTATCACCGAGCTAATGGAGGTACAAACTATATTCTGAATAGTATAGTAAATTCATCCCAAGCGATCTCAGCATTTATCTTCCTCTAAAATTTCTCTCTATTATCCAATCCACCATATCTTTGTCTCTCCTACAAACAAAAACATGGCTAGTTATACCTTCTAGTTTTTTGGGCACTGTATGTGTCAAAAATATTCTCTAGCCTCAGTAACTAATCCTCTGCAGCCTGGGGTCCTATAGTGCCTTTGAACAGTGGGGAATTCAAATTATGAAATATCTAGATATATTTTTTCACCCACTTCTTCCTTACTTCCAAATGGCTTTCTCTGTGTATCTCTCATTACTAGTGCTAGAACACCTGCTAGCTGCATATTAGTACCTAATGGTATTAGAATTGCACTTTATTGCTCATTTTGTACATCTTGCTCTAGTAAATCCATTTCAACTATTCATATACCAATTCAGTTTGATCTGAATAATACACATATATATAATCAATTATATATGCAAAATAAGGCACCTTAATCTACCCCACTCACAATCAATTCTTACAGCTTTGAAAATAATCAATTATTTCAACAACTATGCTCTAATTCCAATTTTGTGATGCCCAAGAAAGTCATTTTGAAAGAATTATTCTTTTATCATTTAATATATAATAACCAGTGCTACCTAATTTTTTTATCAATACAAATACTAGTTAAAATAAAACTATCAATCAAAATATCAATATACATATTTTTATTCATTTTCAAAAAAAAAAAAAAAATCATGTACACTACTCAAGATCTATACAATTATTTCATAACTATTATGTCCTTATTACAAAAGAATAGTTAAAATAATAAGAACCTAAACTTAAAGGATCCTGATAAATCTCACACTCCTACTCCCTTGTACTGACTTAAAATTATTTAATAAAATATAATGAGCTCAAGAGCTCAAGAAATAAACAAATCCTACAGTTGAACTCAAAGTACGGTAAAGAAGCAATATGCATGCCAATAATCAAATCATAAATATTTATATGATCATAAATCTAAGAAAAAATAATAAAACTCATGTGTAGTAGAAAGTAATAGTAAAGTCTATAAATCGTAAAATAATATATTGAAGAGATTAGTGAACCAGTATAAATGATATATTAATAAAGAAGTAGTTAAATCAGTACTATCAATCAAGAAAGAAATTATATAATTAGTAAAAAATGAAAGCCTAGATGAAAATTATTAAAATTATATCAATGTAGTAAAACCCTAGAATAGTCAACACATATTATCCAATATGACACAAGCTTAATATGTCACATATTCAATATCAAGACAATGAATCAATAGTAAATAATATCGTTGTCTATATAGGTAATAGTAACAATCTAGTGACAGGAACAATAAAATAATATAGTAACTGTATATCCACTTAGTAATGGCAAATCTATACAAAAATAGAAAGAATATCTCAATAACATGCATTTTAATGGTCACATTAAACAAGTAAGAAATCTTTGCTTAATTGGTGTTTTTTCAGTATTATTTCAATTTTAGTAAACCATTTACTCAATAAATAAAGTCGTCACTTTTTATCCATTGGCACAATAATTATCTCCTAATAACTCTCAATTAGTATCACATGAATCAGTAGAGGATAACATTGAATCATAGTATTTAAATGAAAGTCTATCATCTCACCGTCTTGTACAGGTCAATTAACCTCAAGTTAATGTCAGTTAACAACTAGTCTTCTCTAATTTTTTCCCATACAAACATTATTATATAAATATTATAATAGTAATAGTAGCCATCTATTACTCAATCATATATCCATATTCATTCTTAATGTATTAAAATAAATAAAGCATAATTGGGCTTAATTTAGAAAGTGATAAAATATTATAATGGTAGGAAATAAAAATCATACTAAGTAAGAATTCATATTTTCAAAATTAATCAAATTCTAGAGAAAGTATATAATCGCATTCTGAAGCTTTAATTGAAATATAATATAAAAAAAAATGAATTCATAAAAATCATTTCCTTATCAAAATCACCGAGCAAAAAAATCTACTCAAAATATTTATAAGTTTATTCTTTATAATATATCAAAAATTATGCGGTAAAAGTTTTATCAATATAAAATTATCCTCATCTTTTGATAATAAAAGTAAAAAAATCCAAAAAATATCAAATTATTGAATTCATAAATAGGATAAGGGTTTCTTATAATGAGACCAACAAATTTTCCAACAAGATTGAGTTGTGAAAATTGTACTATGACCTCTAAACCTTAGGTTTCTTTTTCTCTCTCCTCTATTTTCTCTATAAATTCCCTTTCGTGCTCTCTATTTAGGCCAAAGAGAGAAAATGAAAAACGCTTTAATGTATTAATTAATAGAATATGATATTTATAGTAAAATACTAATATAATATAAGTATAATTATATAATTTATTTGGTTTTCTATATAAAATTCATAAAAATCCTTTTGTGGCCCCAAAAATTATAAAAAAAATATTGATAAAATATCTCATTTTACTTAAATTTTTTTGGTAAAATTAATTTGTAAAACGGGCACCTGATAGTCCTAAAACCCCCACTTGTAAAGATTAGTGTTAGTTTCTTAAGGGTTTGCACCAAAGTCCAAAAAATATGAAAAAATTAATGTGATTAAATAACTGCAATATCTATATTATGGAGAAAATGATTTGTGATTTGGACTTATAATGACTTTTACAAAAATTTATTTGATTGTGTCAAAATATAGGTTATTATAAATTATCCTAATCAGCTCCCAGTTAATGACATAAATTCTTAAATCCAACATAATTATAATTCATGCACCAAAAAAGTTGTAGTTAGATTGTTAAAAATAATATTAAGAAAAAGTAAATTCAAATTATATATGCTAGAGTAAGGCTCTTTTAATGGTCAACATTTGGCACCATAAAGCATTGCAGGCCTCACTACCATCTTATAGAATTTTCCCTTAGTTTGAGGGGTACATTTCTTTCACATAGCAAGCCCGATGCATTCCTCCATTCAACCATCCAACTTGAATTCTGCTAATAATATCCCCATCTATTTCACCATCACTCTGAACAATAGATCCAAGATATCTAAAACGTGTACTCTTATTAATGACTTAATCGCCCAAAGTCACAATCCCCTCACTAAGTCTATTACTACTAAAATTACACTATATATATTCCGTTTTAGATCCACTCAAGTGAAAACCTTTAGACTCTAAGGTTGACCTCCATAATTCAAGTTTACCTTCAACTCCCTCTCTAGTCTTATCAACAAGACGAATATCATCAGCAAAAAGCATACACCAAGGTACATCCTCTTGCAAATGTCTAGTGAGAACATTTATGACTAAAGCAAAAAGATATGGGCTTAAGGCTGATCCTTAATGTAACCCAACCGAAATAGGGAAATAATTGGTCAAACCACCTTATAGCTCCTGCATACATATCTTTAATGATTTGAATATAAGCATTATTGACTCCTTTCTTTTCAAGAACTCTCCATAGAACTTCTCTTGGAACTTTATCATATGCTTTTTCTAAATCAATAAATATCATATGTAGATCCTCTTTATTTACTCTATATTTCTCCATCAAACCTCTTAATAAATGTATGGCTT